TCCTATGACACCATGGGCTATTTTTAACGGGAAATATGAATCTAAAATTTCCGTGGGGTGTTTCAAGGGGTCTATGTTCAACGGACTTATTGTTCCTGAAACATTCTCTGACCCATTTTAACACCTACCTGTTTTAAAAATTTCCCTTGCACTGCTTCAATAGAGTCAATATCATCAGTTAAAATTGGCATCCACACTACTGTGTTGTACTCTCAAATATTCCGCACCAAAGAGCAGTATAAAATTTAGTCCAATATTTTATATGATTTAGAAGTAATTACTCTGATGAGTCTTGTAAAAATGAATTTTGTTTCAAAAGTTATACCTAAATGCCTACCTGTACCAGTTCTCATGAGGTCACGGCTTTATATTTATACGTGACAGAATTTCAAATACGGCTGAAGCTTATCTGGTAGCATTTAAATTGATGTTTATCTTATTAATGTAAGTAATCTTTATTAAATAGCTTCAAGCTAAACAATACAATATATATATATATACAGGGTGACTTCGAAGTTGAGTCATTTATTTTAACAGTGAGTAGATCTGATCAAAAGAAATGTTTTTTCCTTTACCATTTTTCTGGTAAAATTAAAGTAACAAAGTTATAGCCCTTTGGAAGTTTGAGTACCGCCCTGTCTCAATAATGATATTATGTTCTCGTGTTTGGCAACAACAGATATAATCCGCCTTATCCGTTCATCGCATCGGAAACAAAAAAGCGAAAGAATTTGGAACGATCTTTTTACAATTATTTTCTTCAGTTGTATAATGTCAGTATCAGTCGGTAGTCGGTAACGCGTAAGTGAATAATCGTGTCTGTTGCGAGGCTCAAATGAAAAATGGCACATGTTTACGAAAATGCTGAACTTGTGGACATGGTTCTTATTTAGGGGAGTCTTTACAAAATGCTGCCGCGGCATCACGGATCTATGCGGATCGGTTTCCCAATCGAGTGCAACCAACCCCTCGTGCCTTTGTTAACGTAGTGCAAAGAGCTCGTGAATCAGGTGACTTAAGACCTCACAGAGGAGATCATGCCGGTGCTCCAAGACCACACGATCAAATAGAACTAGAAGAACAAATTTTAGAATTAGTAAGTGATGATCCAACAGTAAGCACCCGACAAATTTCAACTCAATTGGCGATTAGTCAGTATAAAACTTGGAAAACTCTACGTGAAAATCAGTTCTATCCGTTTCACATACAAAAAGTGCAGGCCTTACAACCGGAAGATCATGAACAAAGGGTTGACTTTTGCAATTGGCTTTTAAATAAACATCAAAATGATGACAATTTTTTAAATCAAATTTTAGTGAGTGATGAAGCCCTCTTTACTAGAAACGGAATTATTAATTCACGTAATTCTCACGTTTGGGCTATTGAAAATCCCCATGAAATAAGGGAAACCAATTTCAACAGCGATTTGAACCAATCAACCTGTGGGCGGGAATTGTTAATGGAATTTTAGTGGGGCCTTTTGAATTACCAAATCGCTCAACTGGTGAAAATTATTTTGATTTCTTGCAACACAATTTGCCTGGTTTACTGGAAGATGTGCCTTTAAATATTAGACAAAACATGTGGTTTTTACAAGATGGGGCACCACCCCATTATGCAAGAAATGTGCGTGAATTTTTAAATAGACAATTTAATAATCGTTGGATCGGCCGTGGCGGTTTTGTACCTTGGCCGCCAAGGTCTCCGGACTTAAATCCTTTAGACTTTTGTTTGTGGGGTTGGCTAAAAACTCTAGTGTATAAAACACCGGTTAATACACGCGAAGAATTACGTGCTCGAATTGAGGAAATGAGTACAGTGATCAGAAATCAACCAGTGATTTATTGCGTGCTTGTAAAGAGACATGGCTAAGACGCGCCCAGCTGTGCGTCGAGCAAAACGGAAATCATTTCGAACAGTTTTTGTGACATGCTTTTGGGCGCACAGGTCCGCACTGAAATACTTGTCGGGAGGATACTTTATAAAACAAGGTAACATTTTTTTTTTAATTTTTTTTATTTTTACACACATATTTTGGTTTATCTTCCTTCTACAATCATTATCTGAAAATTAATGACTCAACTTCAAAGTATATATAATGTTATTATCTAACACTAACACTATTTTCTACATAAATTCTCAATTGTCTTTAGAATTTGACAAAATTTGTAGATTTGATTTCAGCTGGTAACTTATTAAAATATATAAAGCCTTTATGAAATAAAATATTTTGTGCAAAAGCAGACCCCACAACAGGAACATGAAAATCAAACCTATTCCTTATATTATAACTATGAATATCACAGACCAATTGCAAACCTTCCAATATGTGTTCGGGATTCATTCCATTCTATATTTTGTAATATAATACTACACCACCGAGTAAGATTTATGAGATATCTTTGTAAGTTTTCCGCGTCATGGTTATTTCCCATTGTTTTGAACAATTCAAGACCACCTGCAAAAATCAAATAACTGATATTTGATATAGAATCTGCAACATCATTAACAAATGAACTGATTAAAACTGGGCCAACGTAGGAGCCTTGGGGCACACCTGAAAAGACTTTGATGGGATTACATAGTGTTCCCGAGTATCTGACGCATTGTGTTTGTCTTGACACCATACTATGCTTTCATTGGTTGTCCCATAGACGAGAGGCTAATGAATAACCAACAATAGCTGTCCATGGTTCGCTGTCGGAAAGACAAAGCAGCATTTGTTTAGTCAGTGGCAAGCAGCTAGAATCGTCAACGATCTGGTGGTCCCATGAAAGACTGCGTCCGAACCAATGGCTGTTATGCACTATTCGCAGTAATCGATTCTGACGATAGATGGCGCTTTGCGCTGACTTTTTCCGATAGATACCACAACAGTGTCGAAACTATAGCATATCATATGTACATCGTGTCATCGAAATTGATTTCAAACGGTAAAAAACATACTCGATTTTTACAGATTCGCCTAAAAAACTGCTAGACGCAAAAAACCCTCGACTCATTGCGGATCAGGAGTAATTTAGCAGAGCTGCCACACAAAAAGGACACCGACATTGACATGGAACGCTTTTGCTTTCCAAGTGACTGGACATAAAAAGTGCTACCGATGTCGGCCTGTAATCGTATATGGCCTGTTATTTACTTGTACACCTGCTTTTTGTTCACAGAGCTGGCGACTGAAGTGCGCTGTTTTGAAACAGTGGAATGTTTCAATATGTCGATTGTTTCACCCGCTGTGTGGCTTGTGGCACTGTCTTGTTGGAACTGCATATCATTAATGTCTAGCCCATCCAATTGACCCAAAAAATAAGGTTGCAACATGTCCCTGTAGCGATTTCCGTTGACGGCCCAATGACACCATCGGCATGAAAACCACACCATACAGTTATTTTTCGTGGATGAAGTAGTGTTTCTTGAAGCACATGAGGGTTTTGACCTGACCAATAACGCATATTCTGTTTCATGACGAAGTCGTTTAGCCAAAAATGCGCCTCATGACTGAAGATGATTTCGCGATGAAATTGGTCATTTTCTTGCAACATTTCTAGTGCGCAATTCAAGAACGTACATCGGTTCATATCATACCATGAAAATGGTTTCATTACTGAATGTTTTGGCATTGACAGTTCGGTAATTAGGTGAAAGGGTTCACAGTGAAATACTTAAATTTGTGATGTATTGCAACTATTGATGTCTAATTCATTATAATATTTAGCGGCATTAAATCAGAATCATGAATGCTTGTTCCAAATGTTAGCTTATTCCATAAACGTACTGGTGAATGACTGGTTATAATATAATTAATGAATGACAAAAATATATTTGAACAGGCTATTAATTTTGAACCATCCTAAATCTTTGATTGGGCCAGTTACATTATCATACTTTCCAAGATTATTGTCAACCCGCAACAAGAATTTTAATTTTCTTGTAGTCTGAACATTTGATTTAAATAAGGATTCCATATGAAATTTTAAAATTAATTGACGATTCACTTAGTCGACTTTTTGTTTTAAAAACTGAGGATGTGCCTGTTGGTAGATAACAGTTTGAGATTAAAATGTTTTGATGACCGTGCGGACATCCGTGCGAAGACGTAGATCATTAAATTTGAAATCTGTGCTGCCTATTTTCACGTCCAGGCTTGCCTTTAGATGTCCCCGCGTTTCTTTCCTGGAAAAAATACAACATTTGAAGGAACATTTTGTAAATTTAAAATATATACTTGTTCCTGTCTGTCTTTGAGGTATGACGCTAAGAAACTTAGTATCGTTTTAACAAATTAGATAAGTACACTTGGCTAGAAGCAGATTACACCTTGTGGTGTCGAATGCCTTAGTAGAATCGAGAGAGACAAGAACTGTTGCCAAGCTGAAGATTATATAATCAACTATAACAGATACAGAAACAATGTTACGTCCTTTTCTAAGCCCGAACTGCCTTGAGAACGGGAATCTCCATCTAAGTAGACCCTGGGATTACCCAGTATTTCGTGGTACCATCTTGAAATTAGTGTAATAATCCTATAAGAATGAAGAAAAGAAGAAATAAATGAACATTCCCCTGGAAGACAGATAAAAAAGATATACAGTCATTAATTTTCATTGTACTTGGAAGAGTCCATTGTGGTATCCGAAACCTCGAACCATAAACAGAAATTAAAACGTATGTGTGATTTTATTCATATAGATAATGTAGTCCTACCCTCTGAACTTTCGTACTCGGTAGTTTACAACACGTTTTGCACATGTAGCCGACCAGATGCGTTTTGACTTAATTATTTTGTATTTATGCCTGCAGTCTATTGTTGCTTGTAGATTGCCTGCCAAATGAATTTAGGGTCTCTCAGAAACCAAAGCGAAAACTTAGGTTGTCTTATTCTCACAAAATAATTATTCGGCACGAAGCATGATCAGAGAAAATTGAACTTGTTTATTCCCGATGTTCGTTTAGCCTCTGATTTAACGTAACGTTTTCCGTGATATAATAAATTTCTTTAGGTTAAACGTTCATGACACGGAAGGGAGCTTACTAAATAGAAAGGAAATACCCATTAGCGATATTTCCTCGTTCAGATCTGGGCCGTTTCTACATGGAAGTAGCGTTGGTGGCATGACCAAGGGTATTTAAGCACACCTTTTGGGCGAATGCTTATGATATCTAGACCGCCCTTTACTATCGATTTTGCTACCCCGTACGCAAAAATTTATCAATTCAAAAAGAAGGGCTTTCACCCTTTTCGAATCATGGATCAAATTTAAAACAATATCTAGATTCATATGACAGCAATTACTGAACATTTCATTAAAAATGGAAAGAGAATTTTGAGATAAGAGGAGGCTTAATAGTAAAATCGCGCCGCAATGTAACATGCAATTAATATGATAAAATATGGCAAGATCATAAGGCTTCTGGTAGGACGTTCAAGATTTTGACGCCATAGAGAAAACGTACTTCTTACAGCTCTTATTATATTTAGGGGCTCATACTTCCCATAGCATCCCATGTGAAAGCTTTTCTGCAAAAACCAATTAAAGACAACGATGCCATATCATATCAAGTCAAAATGATGACGAGATAACTAAAATGAAGCTGCAGAATACGTGTCTGATGCTTATCCTCCTTTTGGCACGTGCAAAGTAAAGTTATGTAAAGAGGAAATATTTGCTGCCTGTCCTCGATGTGAAATCTTAGTTTGCTTGTCACACCTTAATGAAGATATAGCAAATTGCCGTGATCATGGAACGGTGAAAGAAATGGTAGGCATTTTAGAAAAAGGCCTAAGAGGAGGTAGACATGCAAGTAAAGCTGTGAAAGAATAGGATCAATTCTGAAATAGATACTAACATTAATATATTTTTACGTGTCGAATTGCAATATTGTCCACTGGAAAGTATCTTCACCCAGATCTTTCTTTAAGAAAGATGTCTGACATGTTCCTTCAGGATTTTAAACCTGAAGGATGTAACAAAATTCCGAGTTATTCCTTGTATAGGAAGGTTTTTAATAGGCAAGACTTATCCTTTTTGAGATACGATATTCATATCTCAGAAAAGACAACTGTGCGCGAGAAGAGAATTACTAAGTAACAAGCTAAACAAAAGAGTGGCATTCTTTGCGGTGTTTTTGATATGCATGTATTTTATTTATCAATATTAAAGGAGAGCTCAATTTTTTACTTTCAAATTTTAATTTGACCTTTTACAAATTAGCTAGCAAAGAATGTTACTGTTATCAGTTAGTATGCGCGGTTCATCTCAAATTGCTTTTTGTCTTTTTAGACGAGTACATCCAAAAACAAAACGGACAGAACAAAAATTCAATCATAGCTCACTTCATAAAGTTTCATTACACAAAAGATTTCTCTGAAACGAATCATGAAAAACCGCATCTGATTCTGCACATAGTGCCATTTCATCAGCTTTATCCAGTGACGGAGGCTTTTTTGTACCATCGCAATTACAGCCAATTATAAACTTAGCACGCAGGAGACAACCATATATAAAGTAATCAGTATGAGCTATGTCGATTTCAGCGATTCTTAAGACTTTGTTTAAAGATCTTCGCGTTTTAGTTATAAGAGAAACTGAAGGCGGCAACAAAATAAATTATACTAACGTAATGGAAATCATGGTTGAAAGATCTTCGTCAATGAATATTTTTTTAAACGGCCACCTTCAGTTACAGTTTGATTCAATTTGCCTTAGGCTTATAACATCCGATATACAGTAATGGACAAAAGTATATAGACAAATATTAATATTTACCTAAATACCTTTAGGAAACGAATTCATACTTCATTGCTCCATAAACAAATGCGTTATTAGTAGAAAAACTAAATTCCTTGTTTCTACATTATCTGCAATGAACACAATACAAGACTAAAGATAAGCACTTTTTATGAGGGACCAAAATATGTAGACAAATTCTTTTCAACATTAGTTTAGTATAGTTTCGTGTCAGAAGAGGATTAGTTTGTGTCCATCAAGTATTGTGGAATAAGTTGAGTGATTTTAAGACCATGCCGCGTGGTCCAGAAATTTCTTTCGATGCGAAAACTAAGATCATTGAGTTAGACAAAGACGGTCAACGTCAAGTCGACATTGCCAAAAATTTGAAGCTGAAGCGTAAAGCAATTTGGGCAATATTGAACAAATACAAACAAAAAGGTAAGCCTCTAAGAGAAGTGGTCGGCCTAGAAAACTAAATGCTAGATCAGTTAGATTAATAATAGTAGATCCGTTTAAAACACCAAGACAGATAAAAGCCGAAATCGAGACAAAAGGAACTGCCAGTGTTTCTACGAAAACTATAAGTAGAAGATTAAATGATTTGAAGTTGTTTGTACGTTGCTCGAGTAACACGCCGCTAATCTCGAGGAAAAACCGTAAGGACCGAATCCAAGTTCAATATGTTTGGATCAGATGGTCGTGGACTAAGATTGAACCCCAAGTACACTTTGCAAACTGTCATACATGGAGGCGGGTCTGTTATGCTTTGGGGGTGCTTTTCGGAGTTTGGGATGGGAGCTTTACATAGAATAGATTGCATTATGGATAAGTTTGTATACACAGACATACTAAAGCATGTCATGTTACCCTGTATGGAAGACAATATGCCCTTAAGATCAATCTTCCAGCAAGATAATGACCCGAAGCAAACTTCAAATCTCGCAAATAAATTCTTTCTGGATTAAAAAATAGCAGTTCTCAAATGGCCTTCACAGTCTGCCGATATAAACCCCATTGAAAATCTATCAGAATACTTAGATAAGCAAATAGGAGATAAAATTTATTCAAACAAGAGTGAACTTTTGCCGCTTTAGAGCAAAAGTGGAGGCAGATTGATGAATCTTATATCAACAAACTTCTACAATCTATGCCGAGACGATACCAGGCGGTGATTCATAATAATTGTTATGCTACAAAATATCAACACAAACAAGGTTGGTTTTCTAATTGTTTTGCTTTGTCTATATCTACTAAGTGACATATAAATCCGAACACCCAGTTTAAATGGTTTTATTTTAATAAAATTTTGTATAAGTACTTAATGAAGCATAATAAGTAAATGATAAAAATTGCAAAATGATTGCACTGCTTTAAAGCCCTTTGACCTTTAATAATGTGTGGATGCACCCTGATGTGCTACGCATTCTCCAACGCGCCTAGGCATGCTTCTGATCAGGTGGTCAATGTCCTCCTGTGGTATCTCATTCCAGGCAACCACCAACTCCTCTCGAAGTGCTTCTAGAGTCTGAGGAAGACGTTGCAAATTGAGCAATCTCCTACCCATCATATCCCACACGTGCTCAATTGGGGATAAGTCGGGAGATCTTGGTGGCCATGGTAACAATGTGACATCCTTATGTTGAAAGAAGTCTATTGTGACTCTTGCAACATGTGGTCGGGCATTATCTTGTTGGAAAGTTGGATCTGCCAGGGTGTCAAGATAGGGTAAAAGATGGGGTTCTAGAACTTCCTGGATATAACGCTGCGCATTCATGTCCCTGGCACGACCATCGTGCATGCCTAAACAAAATCGAGACTCGTCACTAACGACAATACTGTTCCATTCCTGATCCCAGAGTGACCGTTGTCTGCACCACTCAAGGCGATTACGTCGGTGTTCTCGAGTTAAAGGGAGGACCCAGTGTGGCCGGTATGAAAACAAGCCAAAACTTCTCATTCGTTGGAGTTATGGTTTGGGGTGCTATAGCTTATGGTTCCAGGTCACCTTTAATCTTCATCAGAGGTAACATGAACGCGCAGCGTTACATCCACGAAGTTCTAGAACCCCATCTTTTACCCTATCTTGACCTGGCAGATCCAACTTTCCAACAAGATAATGCCCGACCACATGTTGCAAGAGTCACAATAGACTTCTTTCAACATAATGATGTCACATTGTTACCATGGCCACCAAGATCTCCCGACTTATCCCCAATTGAGCACATGTGGGATATGATGGGTAGGAGATTGCTCAATATGCAACGTCCTCCTCAGACCCTAGAAGCACTTCGAGAGGAGTTGGTGGTTGCCTGGAATGAGATACCACAGGAGGACATTGACCACCTGATCAGAAGCATGCCTAGGCGCGTTGGAGAATGCGTAGCACATCAGGGTGCATCCACACATTATTAAAGGTCAACGGGCTTTAAAGCAGTGCAATCATTTTGAAATTTTTATCATTTACTCATTATGCTTCATTAAGTACTTATACAAAATTTTATTAAAATAAAACCATTTAAACTGGGTGTTCGGATTTATATGACACTTAGTATATTTTGGTCCTTCATAGTTCCAGTTTTTTTTTCAATTAATTTTTTATTGAAGGGAGTCTAATGAATTTATTTATGTATACGGTGAGTATTATGCTATAAAGAATTATGTTTACAGGTTCGTGTATTAATAAAACAAGTTAAAAAAGAAATACAGCACAATATTAATTTGTCTATATACTTTTGGCCATTACTGTAGGTACTATGAAACTTAAACTGCCATTGTATAATCGCTCATTACTATTATAAGCAAGTAGTTGTTAGGAAGTTCCAGAAGGGACGAGGTGCCCCTGCCTACGTCCGCAACATGGCAACAAGTTGAGCACAATTTTAGTGCCTCGTGGTTCACTCTCTTTTTTTCTTGGTTCTTTTTGTTGGCCACTTAAGTCCCCCAATTTGGGGCACTATCGCAACCGTCATAAAAGTATTACATAAAAAACTTCATATTTTAGACCCTGTAACTTTTACATAAAACTTTTTCGTTTGGAAGGTCGTATAAAAAGTTCGACATCCACTGTTATGCTCCGCCGCCCATGTTCCCCTTTTGTAACGGGTTGAGCGAGCGAGTAAACTAGAGCGGTTCGCAGAGTTGAGAGTTTTATCGAAACTTGATGTGGTTACACCTCTCTTCGTGTTTATGTGAATAGAGGCGAAAATGAGCCGCTCCACGTGAGAGCAGATTGGTAAACTATGTTCGTGAAACGAGCCGGCCTTGGGTGTTGGATATAATGTGTTGCCTTGGATCAATCAGAAATTCTCCATTTGGTACGCGGATCAAAATCAAGATATTAGGAATTATTCTAGAGAGTAGATTCGAACGAACGGAGTCTACTTATTTCAACTAAACATT